CACATGTAGGGATGGCTTATCTCTTGGAATTGGTAACCTTGAGAACACATCCAGGGATGGCTAATTTCTTGGAATTGATAACCTTGATAACACTTGTAGGGGTGGCTAATCTCTTGGAATTGGTAACCAGGGGAACACATGTAGGGATAGCTAATCTCTTGGAATTGGTAACCAGGGGAACACATGTAGGGATGGCTTATCTCTTGGAATTGGTAACCTTGAGAACACATCCAGGGATGGCTAATTTCTTGGAATTGATAACCTTGATAACACTTGTAGGGGTGGCTAATCTCTTGGAATTGGTAACCAGGGGAACACATGTAGGGATAGCTAATCTCTTGGAATTGGTAACCAGGGGAACATGTAGGGATGGCTAATCTCTTGGAATTGGTAACCAGGGGAACACATGTAGGGATGGCTAATCTCTTGGAATTGGTAACCAGGGGAACACATGTAGGGATAGCTAATCTCTTGGAATTGGTAACCTTGAGAACACATCCAGGGATGGCTAATTTCTTGGAATTGATAACCTTGATAACACTTGTAGGGATGGCTAATTTCTTGGAATTGGTAACCTTGAGAACACATGTAGGGATGGCTTATCTCTTGGAATTGGTAACCTTGGGAACACATCCAGGGATGGCTAATTTCTTGGAATTGATAACCTTGATAACACTTGTAGGGATGGCTAATTTCTTGGAATTGGTAACCTTGAGAACACATGTAGGGATGGCTAATCTCTTGGAATTGGTAACCAGGGGAACACATGTAGGGATGGCTTATCTCTTTGAATTGGTAACCAGGGGAACACATGTAGGGATGGCTAATCTCTTGGAATTGGTAACCAGGGGAACACGTGTAGGGATGGCTAATCTCTTGGAATTGGTAACCAGGGGAACACATGTAGGGATAGCTAATCTCTTGGAATTGGTAACCAGGGGAACACATGTAGGGATGGCTAATCTCTTTGAATTGGTAACCTTGAGAACACATGTAGGGATGGCTTATCTCTTTGAATTGGTAACCAGGGGAACACATGTAGGGATGGCTAATCTCTTGGAATTGGTAACCTTGAGAACACATGTAGGGATAGCTAATCTCTTGGAATTGGTAACCAGGGGAACACATGTAGGGATGGCTAATCTCTTTGAATTGGTAACCTTGAGAACACATGCAGGGATGGCTAATCTCTTGGAATTGGTAACCAGGGGGACACATGTAGGGATGGCTTATCTCATGGAATTGGTAACCAGGGGTACCCTTGTAGAGAGGGCCCATCCCTTGGGGGTGGTCACTAGAGGTAGCCTAGAGGAGTGAGCCCATACCTTGGGGGTGGTCACTAGAGGTAGCCTAGAGGAGTGAGCCCATACCTTGGGGTGGGGTAGTAGTGAGGTGTTAAGTTTAGGTGCCGGTGTTAGCTCAGTGGTCAATGTTTAGATGCTGGATTGATTCTAATGGACTGAAGTCAGTGTAATGGTTGTTGTAGTACCTAAAACTGATTAACTTTAAAAAACCATGTGAAGGATAAAAGTTTATGACATCTAAGTGTCATATTTTTCTGTTATGGTGTAGCCTACCCATTTAACATGTTTACATTATGCAGTTCTTGCACTGCACTAAACAAACCTTGTTATTTTCATGGATTCAGTTAGAATGTATATCTGTTCAATCATTACCTACAAGATCACCAAGTGCCAGTTATAGTATATCTATATACTATAGGACTGCACTGTATTAACAATATACTGGTATAATGCAATACATTTTGCAAATGAAACATATAGAGATATCTTTTCATATTTATGGTACATGGGGAAATAGATATAACAAGTTTGTTTTATTTTATAATCAACCTAAATTCTTCTATAAACGTCATTCACAAATGATAACATGGCAACAGCATTGAGGCGATTTTCTCTCATATTGTTATTTCCCAACACCAGTGACTCCAAAATAGCAGTGACTGGCCATGCTTGGTAATATTTGCTTCAGTGGTTTGAAGGATTGGCATGATCCTAAATCACTGTCAAATGCTTCTATTCCAGACATGTTGCAGTGCATACCACAATACACATACCTGTAACACAGTGTATGCAATACAATTATTTTGCGATTACACTTCCCTAATAATATTCTGATTTATGTGTATTTAACATACAGACAACCCAGTTTATCATATCGATATATGCAAATATTCCTTTGAACCTCTGTCCTTTTACTTCCTGAATATAATGATGAATGTTTACTGTCACCAGTGGACCCTGGCGTTGGAGTTTGTTTGGTGCCCATTAGTCTTTGGACAGTAATAGTTATCTCCCATCCAATCTGCCTTTCACATTGCTAATACCTCAATTTTAGTTTCAGTTTCACATCTTAAATTTTCTACTTTTATATTTGCTGTGCTCGAGTAAAGTGATAATCAACAGAAGGAAGTTAAATTTATCTAAATGAAATATGAAGACATGTGCCAATGCCCCCAATCATTCACATTCCTTGACATCTCCAGCATTCCAACACTGTGTGGCAGATGCTCACTTTCTGTTGTATGACAGTGTATGATGTCTGTTGTATGACAGTGTATGATGTCTGGTGTATGATGTCTGTTGTATGACAGTGTATGATGCCTGTTGTATGACAGTGTATGATGTCTGTTGTATGACAGTGTATGATGTCTGTTGTATGACAGTGTATGATGTCTGTTGTATGACAGTGTATGATGTCTGTTGTATGACAGTGTATGATGTCTGTTGTATGACAGTGTATGATGCCTGTTGTATGACAGTCTGTTGTATGACAGTGTATGATGTCTGTTGTATGACAGTGTATGATGTCTGTTGTATGACAGTGTATGATGTCTGTTGTATGACAGTGTATGATGTCTGTTGTATGACAGTGTATGTCTGTTGTATGACAGTGTATGATGTCTGTTGTATGACAGTGTATGATGCCTGTTGTATGACAGTGTATGATGCCTGTTGTATGACAGTGTATGATGTCTGTTGTATGACAGTGTATGATGTCTGTTGTATGACAGTGTATGATGTTGTGTGTTGGTGGTCTTTGCTGTAAGTATGTACCTTCAGTGCATCTCTTATGTACCCATATGGTTTCCTTTGCGTGTTTTCATAATTGTAGCTGTATTTTGGCTGCTGTTACTATCGAGTATTATGTTTTGTAAAGAATTAGGAATCATAAAGTGAAACTTAAAGGACTTTTGGTTGATTCACAGCGAAAGGATATTACTTTGTGAGGGAAGGTGAAAACAACCCTGAGTTTGACTATACTGGATTGCTATTTCATGTCATAGGTTTCGGAACTACACTCACACCAATATGTTGGTAAATTGTTACCCCACGCAACGTGTTTTGTGGGGGGTATTAAAATGCGCTCTGTCTGTCCATGTGTCCGTGCATCCATGCACATTTGTCTTTTCCGGAGCAGATCTTTAAAACCGTTCAATATTACTTCACCAAACTTTGCACATAGATAGATCTGGTGGTGTACTGGTGCCTTTTGGTAGTTTTGGATTTCTAAATAAAATATTTTTGGCATTTCCATGGCAACAAGTTTGACTTTGACTTAAATTGGTGGTAGTGCTCTTTTCCGGAGCAGAACTCTGAAACCTTTCACTGCTTCTTCACCAAACTTGGCTCATAGATAGGTCTGGTGGTGAACTGGTGCCTTTTGGTAGTTTGGGATTTCTGCATAAAATATTTGTTTGTGTCTCCATGGCAACAAGTTTGGCTTCAACTGAATTTGGTGGTAGTGCCCCTTTCTGGAGCAGAACATTAAAACCTTTCAATACTCTCCTTCCACTTTTCTATATACACGCCAAAACGTTTGACATAATCATAACTCTTTGACATAATCATAACTCGTAGACATATTCCTGAATAGTATTTTGCCATTGTGGGGGATATTGATGACTTTGTCTTCTTGTTGAATATATAGACAGGAACACCTCCATGTTATGTTCCAAGAGAGACCATTACCATTGTCCTATACTAGATTGCACATATACCCTGCCTGGTAGTTCTCAACTGATTAGACACTTTTTGTAAGTTGAGAAAACCTCGTATCAAGTTCCTGTTTATAAATTACTAAAGAATATTACTGTTCTTAAAGATAACAAAGGGTGAACACTAAATGTCATATATATTTCCTTGTTGTCTGAGTGCAGCAGGGTTGTTCTATATACACAGCTTGGGGCAATGTCTGTTTCATGTCAGCAAATATACAACAGTGACAAACTGTTGTGTTTCAGTTGCAGGGACCAGCAAAAGTATTTCAAGTTATCTGTGTTTTGACAAGATCTGACGCATGAACTTTGCATACATTTTTAATATTTTCCTAAAGTGTAGCAAGTTATGGAAGCTATTATCAATTGATGTTGCACCTTCTTTACTTGCCTTGACTAACTGAATATTTATAAACACCCAGTTCCAATGTGCTGTATTGATTTAACCGTTAATTGGTGCCACACATGCTACAAGAACATGCATGAATCCCAGTTTATATCTTAAGGCACTGTGAAATTTCATTGGTTTTACAATCTATATCATGTGTCTGTTGGTTATAAAAAAAAATAAGAGATTCTTCTTTATTAGAATTGATGAATTTGCAAGTTAACTGAGTACTAAATTCACAACAGTTTTTGGTAGACATGATAAGTTTGTAGTCAGAAATATTTGAGTTTTTCAATGGTTATTGTATTAGAAGCAAAGGGTTCATCATACGGTTGCGTAATTGTTACATGTATTGTCCCCCTGGAGAAATCTCATGAGGTCAAGTATCCCATGCAGTTATTTGGTTTTGACAGCCAAGTACGAGGGTGTGTAACCCTACAGATTGTGTGTCGTGACATCACAATGGCTTGTCCTGTTGATCATGGTCTTGGGATTCATACACACACAGGACATGCTGGTATAGAAGAAATATTGCTGTTTGTGGTAGGAAACAATATTCACTCTGAATAATTGTTTTTCTCTTTTGTTTTGCAGAAGATCGACATTATGGGAAAGTTGGTGGATGACCTTATCATCAAAACCCAGGAATACCTCCAGCCAAACCCAGGTGTGTGCATGTGACTGTCAGGCCAGCAGTTAAAGGAAGCACAACTCCAATGATCATGCATGTGATAGGAACTTATTGTATTGGGCTTTATCTGCTGGTCTGAAGTTTATGCCATTTATCACATTTTAATCAGTTACACTTTGATAAATTACATGCCATTCATTCTTATTTGTCACGATAATCATAATATGAATAATGTGAACTCACACATCAAATATTGATCACATCACACAGTTTAAGTCTTCAGCAGGTGATTTGCCTGCTGAAGAGTCACGATATGAGAAGAAAGAACCTGTCTGCACTCTAGGGTCTACATCACTGGTCTACATCACTGTATTGCTTATGACAAGATGTGAGTGGCTCAGACTCTGAGACTATGTTTATCATGTGTCATTGTGCCAGTGTGGTTAGCTTCGCTGTTCCATCTATGGTTTGCCTGGGCAAGACATGTTCACTGACCACCATAATGTGGCTGAAATAATGCTGATTCTGGCATTAAAGAACATTTACCCACTCCAAAATATTAGCAGTCACATTGTTAGGTAAAGCAAGTTCCTTCAGCTTTTCTTTGTATGATCTGATATTTTCTCATGATTATGATACAAAAGCTGCTTTCTTGGCATTGTTTCATTTTGTTCTATATTTATGGGATATTTCCCTCTTGTTATAGAATAGATCCCCAGCTACCATGATTAAGTATGAGACGGTAGCCACAAAATGAATTCAGAGTGTGTACCTTGATTTCATGGATCATTACTCCTGCTAACAACCACCAGAGTGTCTGTCCCAGACTTGATTATTTACAGGCCACTGTATATCTGTTACCAACCACCAGAGTGTCTGTCCCAGACTTGATTATTTACAGGCCACTGTATATCTGTTACCAACCACCAGAGAGTCTGTCCCAGACTTGATTATTTACAGGCCACTGTATATCTGTTACCAACCACCAGAGTGTCTGTCCCAGACTTGATTATTTACAGGCCACTGTATATCTGTTACCAACCACCAGAGTGTCTGTCCCAGACTTGATTATTTACAGGCCACTGTATATCTGCTAAGAACCACCAGAGTGTCTGTCCCAGACTTGATTATTTACAGGCCACTGTATATCTGTTACCAACCACCAGAGTGTCTGTCCCAGACTTGATTATTTACAGGCCACTGTATATCTGTATATCTGTTACCAACTACCAGAGTGTCTGTCCCAGACTTGATTATTTACAGGCCACTGTATATCTGCTACCAACCACCAGAGTGTCTGTCCCAGACTTGATTATTTACAGGCCACTGTATGTCTGCTAACACTACCAGTGTGGCTGGGCCAGATTTGATTATTAACAGGCCACTGTATATATGTTACCAACTACCAGAGTGTCTGTCCCAGACTTGATTATTTACAGGCCACTGTATATCTGCTAACAACCACCAGAGTGTCTGTCCCAGACTTGATTATTTACAGGCCACTGTATATCTGTTACCAACCACCAGAGTGTCTGGACCAGACTTGATTATTTACAGGCCACTGTATATCTGTTACCAACCACCAGAGTGTCTGTCCAGACTTGATTATTTACAGGCCACTGTATATCTGTTACCAACCACCAGAGTGTCTGTCCCAGACTTGATTATTTACAGGCCACTGTATATCTGTTACCAACCACCAGAGTGTCTGTCCCAGACTTGATTATTTACAGGCCACTGTATATCTGTTACCAACCACCAGAGTGTCTGTCCCAGACTTGATTATTTACAGGCCACTGTATATCTGCTAAGAACCACCAGAGTGTCTGTCCCAGACTTGATTATTTACAGGCCACTGTATATCTGTTACCAACCACCAGAGTGTCTGTCCCAGACTTGATTATTTACAGGCCACTGTATATCTGTTACCAACCACCAGAGTGTCTGTCCCAGATTTGATTATTTACAGGCCACTGTATATCTGCTAAGAACCACCAGAGTGTCTGTCCCAGACTTGATTATTTACAGGCCACTGTATATCTGCTACCAACCACCAGAGTGTCTGTCCCAGACTTGATTATTTACAGGCCACTGTATGTCTGCTAACACTACCAGTGTGGCTGGGCCAGATTTGATTATTAACAGGCCACTGTATATATGTTACCAACTACCAGAGTGTCTGTCCCAGACTTGATTATTTACAGGCCACTGTATATCTGCTAACAACCACCAGAGTGTCTGTCCCAGACTTGATTATTTACAGGCCACTGTATATCTGTTACCAACCACCAGAGTGTCTGTCCCAGACTTGATTATTTACAGGCCACTGTATATCTGTTACCAACCACCAGAGTGTCTGTCCCAGACTTGATTATTTACAGGCCACTGTATATCTGTTACCAACTACCAGAGTGTCTGTCCCAGACTTGATTATTTACAGGCCACTGTATATCTGCTACCAACCACCAGAGTGTCTGTCCCAGACTTGATTATTTACAGGCCACTGTATATCTGTTACCAACTACCAGAGAGTCTGTCCCAGACTTGATTATTTACAGGCCTCTGTATGTCTGCTAACAACCACCAGAGTGTCTGTCCCAGACTTGATTATTTACAGGCCACTGTATGTCTGCTAACAACCACCAGAGTGTCTGTCCCAGACTTGATTATTTACAGGCCACTGTATGTCTGCTAACAATCACCAGGTTGGCTGGACCAGACTTGATTATTTACAGGCCACTGTATATCTGCTAACACTACCAGTGTGTCTGGACCAGATTTGATTATTTACAGGCCACTGTATGTCTGCTAACAACAACACAATATTCCCTGACCAAGACTTGATCATTTGCAGGCAACTGTACAGCTGAATTATTTTTTGCCTTGCCATACAACACCATTTACTTTCACTGATGTTTTGACATCACCAAATGAGAGATGGTTTTTGATGGTTTAGATGAATTGATTGACCAATATTTTATCACTAGTTGCAGCTCAAGAACCAATGTTTTTGGCCTCTTTCTGTGTCAGATCAGATATCCTGAACATTGTTTTTTCTTTTCAGCATCAAGAGCAAAATTGTCCACAATGAATGCATTATCAAAAGTCCGAGGCCAGGGTAAGGTGGCGCCGTATCCACAACCAGAAGGAATCCTGGGAGAACACATGATCAAACATGGCAGGGATCTTGGAGATGACAGTACCTTTGGTAAGTAGTCCACCAAGTATGGGATCCATCACCTCCAGAACAACAATACGTAACGCAGGGGATTACTTACAATCATCAAATGCCATATGAGAGGTCTATTTTAGAAGTAAATTGCCTGCAGGTTATGTACGCTATAGAAAAACCATCTTGTGAGTGCCTGCTTAAAATGAATACTACTTCGGCGGATGACAAATGGATGAAAATAAACTCTCAGCTGTAAACCAATGGGCTGTTTCTTTGTGCCCCAAAGCGTTATTGTTTGTCATATATTGAAATAGTTAACTGTAGGTATAGATATGTCCCAGTGGATAGGCTCATCAGGATACATAGTGCCGTCACTCGGTAACTCAAACCTGTGGAGAAAGCATTATAGTTTGTCATCAACTGATATAGTTCACAATTATCTGATTATCACTTTCCAGCAGTGAACTCCAGCTTGTTTTATCTGCCTGTGTTGTCCCCTGGGATGTAATATGGGGTGATGTAGCAATGAGCTTGTCTGTCCATCTGTCCATCCCAAATCATTTTCTGCCAGGATTGTATCTCTAAAATCCATAGGTATTCATTCATGAGACTTTGAACATACTGCTGTCAATTGCTCCCTTTTGCTATTTGTTGCTTTTTTATCCCCCGCCGCGCGTTTTGCTCGAAGCGGGGGATATAGTATTAGGCTCTGTCCGTCCGTCCGTACGTACGTACGTACGAATTGGAATATCTAAAGAACTGTTGACTAGATTCTTTTCATATTTGGTACCTAGGTTCATCACAGTATAAGAAAGGTCCCAGTCAGGTTTGGTGACCTTGACCTTCATTTCAAGGTCACAAGGGGACTTTAACGTTTTACCCTTGTCAGTGAGCTATCTCAAGAACCGTTCACTGGATTTTCTTCACTTTCAACACCCAAGCTTTACCTAAGGAAGGCGCAGGGCCCAGTCGATTTTGGTGACCTTCAATGAATTTTCAAGGTCACAGCAACACTTTGAATATTTCAGCATGTTAAGCTGCATGTTAAGATTGTCAGCGAGATGCCTCAAGAACCGTTCACTAGATTTTCTCATATTTGAGATCAAGCTTCATCCAGTGAAGGCGCAGGGCCCATTCGATTTTGGTGACCTTCACTGAATTTTCGAGGTCACGGCGACACTTTGAAGATTTCAGCATGTCAACCAGCATGTTAAGATTGTCAGTGAAATATCTCAAGAACCATTCACTGGAGTTTTTTCATATTTGACATCAAGCTACATCTAGGGAAGCTGCAAGGTCCATAATTGACACATAATTGTCAAGGTCACATGGACACTTTGAAAATTTCAACCGTTAAGCTGCATGTAAAGATTGTCAGCGAGATATCTCAAGAACCATTCACTGGACTTTCTTCATATTTGATACCAAGCTTCATCTAGGGAAGGTGCAAGGTCCAGTCAAGTTTGGTGACTTTCACATAATTGTCAAGGTCACAGGGACACTTTGAAGATTTCAGCATGTTAAACTGCATGTTAAGATTGTCAGCGAGATATCTCAAGAACAATTCACTGGATTTTCTCCATGGACTTTCAAGATTTCCCTTGAATGTTTTTCAGTAAGCAGTTATTACTATTTTTGCATATTTCATACACAAAGACATTCATGTCAAGGTCAAAGTCAGTCTTGAAAATATTTGTGCGTTTGAACAACTACAGAACAAGATATCAAGAGAGGTTGACTGGTCATGTTTTTGTTGACATTTAACTTCACCTTAAATTACGACCTTCACTTTCATTACTTTTTAAGTTTGATTTGATAATTTTGCGGCGGGGGATTATGTCACCTTAGTGACAAGGCTTGTTGTACTTTTACTTATTCCATTTTGCAAGGAGCAAGCTTGACGTTGTCCCTATCATAGTGGTTTGTTTGTCTGGACTATATCTCTAAAACTAATAGCTATTTTCATTACTAATACTGACAAAAGCTACAAGTACTAACTAAAACTAATAGTGTCCTTTATACGTATATGGACTGATTAGGAATACTCTCACCAAGTGACAGATCACTCTTGTAGAAGTTCCTGTAACAGTCAGGTACAAAGCAAGGAAAGAAGATTAACAAGTCAACCAATCATTACACTGATCATTCATTAACACCTTTGTTGACAACAGGTTGAAGTTGAACCATACATAAGGTCATCATGATCAATATGCTCTTCAATTGCTTACTGCTGCATGAAACACCCTCACACTATGTTTTGTTAGACTTTGAGGAAAACGCCAACTTATAGTAACATGAAAGATGTCTTCTAAATTGAAGACATCGTGAAGTGGAGTGATTTAAGAAAAAATTAATTTAAGTATAGCGACATCATTCCAATGTTTTAGATTTAGATTTTGAACAAATTATTCAAATAATTGAATAATTCTGTTCTGTCAAAATATCTGACTTCAACAATAATGATTAATGTCCATGAGAACAATGAATAATGGGAATCAGTTTTAATGCATGCAATATTTATGAGTTCAAATATTAATACGAATTTCAGTAGCACACTTGTTTAGGGATGTTCTCTCCAACATGAATATTCATTGTGGTATGTTAAGCCCTATTAGGACTGATGTCAGCGACAGCTGCCATGCTATGGTATACAGCCCGTATCACATCTCCAAGCACCTATAACATGTGTTGTACAGTCACATGGTGGTCTGTGGCAACACAACTTTTATTGCCTTGTGCCACAATTTAAATTGACAATTAATTACTCTGACTCATGTTGGCAATTATGACAAACTTTTATAGATGACATATTTCATGTGTTTCCTGATGTCAAATTCAGAATGCAGTTAAATCCCATTTGTATAATGTCTCCGTGGCCCAGATAATAATGTGGTGGTCAGAGCACTGGTAGATCGAATTTGGTTTGTTTGTTTTTTACATGACAAAAATGATTTTTGATTTACTATTGATATGATTTTGAAGGATTTGCATTCTGTTGAATGTAATTCAATGAGTTATAGTTCCGTGCAAGCACACAACATATTTTCCAGGGATAATGTAAATGGTGGTAGGTTACAGGGTTGATTGCATTCCAGATACACAGTCATCTCATGTGATATTTACGATCAGTAATGTCATGAATAATTAGTTCACTGCAACTGCAGTCCAGCTTAAGATATGGCCAATTCGAACTGAAGGCAAGGATGTATTGATGTAATCTTGTGTTGAGAGAGGAGACATGATGACATTACACATGAGATCATTGTGCAACTTCGCTCCATCACGGATGCTGGAACACCCATCACATTGATTAACACACATATTAGGGGGGTTGGTAGGTCAGTGGTTATTTCCTTGTCATGATAAACTCTCACTCAGATTTTGTACTTTGGTACAATTTATGTCTTAGGTTGTCGGTGCATTCAACATCTCATGGTTATTTAAAGGGTTGCACAATTCTGCTGTGATGTTGCTTAGTTTGGCATAATACAGTATTGTGTTGACTTCATTTTATGGTTGAAACTGCTTTCTGTAAATGTTTTGGAGCGGTTGGGTAGCCTAGTGGTTAAAGCTTTGGCTCGTAACGCCCAAAACCCGGGTTAGATTCCCCACATGGGTACAATGTGTGAAGCCCATTTCTGGTGTCCCCCACCGTGATATTGCTGGAATATTGCTAAAAGCAGTGCAAAACCATACTCACTCACTCACTGTAAATGTTTATATTATTGTTAATTAACGTAAGCGAAACTGGTTTAACCAAGCTGCTTAATCATAGACGTCCATGCTGTCTCAATGCTGTTAGACATGTGACTCACAGTGAAGTGCCAATGTCTGGACTTGCTGTATAATTCCCTCTTATCTTATTTTACATTATAGATTTGTAAGTAAAAAAACGTTCAGTTCTTTTCATATCTTAATCAGGTATTTTATTAATATCATTAAAAAATGCATGCCAAATATATTGAAAAGATAAATTTTAATCTTTAAAATCATATATCAAACCTTTTTAATTATATCTAAGACTTTGTTGTCATGGAGAGAGCTTCTACTTTGTACTGTTGATGTAAGTTACAATGACCTTGGATTGACACATTCCAATGCTGAATGATGATCCTGACTGAACACGGCTGCCATCTGGAGAGTGGTTCATGTGGGAGGCTGGCCAGTGATCGCTGGCCATGTGTGCTGCTCACCGAGTGTGGCTGGACTACAACGTGGTATTGATTCCTGTAGTCACAGTCGTACCTACTGTCTTCAGGAGGAAATCACACCTTCCAGGGCTGGAAGCAGTTACAAGGCTCTCAGTACACGCAACTGGTCACTTTAACAAGATTTTAGTTTGAGTAAGGTTTAATGCAACCTTTCTGCTACTTCAATGGGATAGTGGTTTATACATTTGGATCAGTGGTTCAATCCCCATTGCAGTGTTATACCAAAAGATGTTAAGAGATGGTACTTTCTCTTACCCTCCCTGAATCATTGAGGGAATAACACGAGGACTGGGTGGCTTAGAATCGGTATGTGACTGAGTGGGGTTATCTATGTAATACATAGTCATGTGGGCCAGCACCATAAACTTGAATTGAGTCCGGATTAGCAGAAGCAGCCATATAAATGCATGTCTGTAGGAGTGAAATGAGTGCGGAACTTGACCTCACCTCACCATACCTCACTGTTCATATTACTATTAGTAGGCAAATGCTTCCTTTGTAACAGTTTTTGAAATTTATTTCCTTCAGTTTGCTGACAATAAACCTCATGCATTCTCCTTTTCCTTGTATTTCATCAGACGTGAAGCACGTTAGACATGTAACTGATCAAGGCCAATACAGGATATTAATACTAAATATTAACAAGTATGATCTGAATATTTTCCTGCTTTATGTACATAAGGAGGCGTTGGGGTAGCCTAGTGGTTAAAGCGTTCGCCCGTCACGCCGAAGGCCCGGGTTCGATTCCCCACATGGGCACAATGTATGAAGCCCATTTCTGGTGTCCCCCGCCGTGATATTGCTGGAATATTGCTCAAAGTGACG